CAGCCTGGCACCTCTGGGGGCTCTGCTCACGGTCTCCTGATTTCCACTGGGAGGCGAAGCTTGTGGGCACTTGGGAGGGAGTGTGAGCATGTGTGTGTATGCACGTGTGTGCGCGCACACATGCACACATCCGGGCCTCTGTGCGTTCCTGTAACTCTGTCCTAAAGGTAACACACATCTAAAGGTGAGTCCAGGGGTAGCCTCATTTTTGCTATTCCTGACCCGTCAGGTCTTCCCCGTCTCCATCTCTGATGAGGAGAGGGTGTGGGGGACCTGAGGCTGGCCAGGCGAGTGTATGATTGTCCAGTGGGGATCTCCCACCCTGACCCACTGTCTTGTGAGCTGAGAAGGAATGCACTTCCCTGTCAGAGGGCAGACTCGGTCATGCGACTTGCTTTGCCCATTACATTGTGACCACAAGTTGTAAGTAGCCCTGTGGGAGTTGGCCACCTCCCTTTCTTGTCCCCTGGTGCCAGGGAGTGGCATTTCCCTGGACTCTAGAATGGAAGGAAGCCACAGGGAAGCAGAGCCACATGGACCAGGTCTCCACCGTCAGCTCCTGAGTCCTGGGAAGCTTGGGAGGGCAGCAGATCGGTACATACGTGCAGGAAGGGCAGTTAAGTCTAGATCTTTGACATGGGAGGGTGACCTATCCCCAGGGAAGCATAAGCCAGATGCAACTTCAGAAGTCTTAGCACAGAGCTCCAACAGACAGATCCCTCGAATATGAAAAGCCTTTTGATGATTTTTTTGGTGTTGTTAAAAAAAAAACCAAAGGTAGGGAGCCTATTTGGGAGTTTGTATAATTTAATGGGTCTAGAGCTTGCCCGAAAAAACCCTAGCTGACCAAGAGCAGTGGAGTGGGAGGATGTGGCTTAGCCTGGCCAGCCCGGGCGCTCAAGGGACAGCTGCTGGTGTGGTGGTTCACTGCAGCTTAGCGCTCTGCCACTCGGGAGCCCCAGCTGGTGAGGTGTGACCTCCCTGGGTGCTGGGGCTTTATAGCACGAGGCTGGCAGGCACAATGTCACCCGGGACCCTGGAGCCAGGCCAGCCAGGGCAGGTGGCAGCCCAGGGGAGGGAGAGAGGGCAGAATCTGGGAGGCCTCCATTCTCCTGCCTGTGGTGGCCCGTGTGACTTGGTTCTTTGTAGTGGGGGTGGGACTGGACCCGCGGACAGGGTCAAAGAACGTGGCACGATAATAGTCATAACAGCAAACAGGACACCCTCCTCTGGGACCTCCCTTAATATCCCCATTGTACAGACCAGCAGAGGGAGGCTCGGGGAGCTTCCATTGCTCGGTTAGGGTCACATAGCTGCTAAGGGGTGGGGTCAGGGCTCAAGGGTGGGTCCAGGGAACACCCAAGCAGAGTGCTCACACCATTGGCCAGGAGAGGACCAGCCTGTGAGCACCCACAGGAAACAGGGGCCGTTGCTGAGCAGCCCTGATGGATAATGGGGCGGCTGATCTGCCTGTGTCCTGGGGAAAGCCACCTGACCTCCCTGCATCTCAGATTCTGCCCAAGCTCGCCCACCCCCTCTCAGTCTAGGGCAGATGGGTATGGGTCGTAGGAGGCCTCTTCCAGCTGTGCCCTCACACAGGTCAGGGAGGACCTAAGAGGGGGGGCGATGAGGCCTTTGGAGTTGGGGGGTCCCTTCGCTTAAAAAATGGATAAAAAGAAAAGCCAGAAACTAAAGCCTGAAGGCTGATTGGAACTGCGATGTTCACGCATGCGTAACTGCCACTCCCCTTCCCAAGCCCACTGTGCTGCAGCTGGAGGTGAGGCTGCCGCAGGGACAGAGCCTTGGGGTCAGATCTTGTCCTGCACGTGGGGTCCCCTGCAGCTCCCACACACTAGGATCTACAAGTTTGGGAACAGCCTCCCTTAGCAGAGCAGTGAAGAAGAATCTCTGAGAGTGTGATGCCCGCCGGCCCATCCTGCACAGGGGAGAACAGTGCGGGGAGAACAGTGCGGGGCGGCAGATGGATTTGCCCCAGGGCATCTGAGCTCTCTTCTGCTCTGTCCTGGAGGACCTCCAGGGCGACCCAGCCAGGTGGCCTCTCACCAGGAGCTGCTTCACTGGGAAATCCTTCAGGTTTCCATCTCGGGGGGAGTCCAGCACCACGGGGAAGCCTTTGTGGGGGGCCTCGATGTAGCCAAATTCGACTTCATCCTGTCGGGACCCAAGGAGAACCACCAGGTGAGTCCCGGAGGCAGGACAGGTCCCAGGTGGAGGCCACTCCCGGGGCGCCAGGGGGAACCAGCCCACCCGAGTGGAAACGCAAGGAGATTGTGCAATGA